AACCCGTACATGATTATTCTTTACTGTTGAGTATGCAACTAATCAGTAGCACACTCAACTCGCCCACCATGTAGAGCGGATACAGGCCACAAGGCCACAAACCACGACCATAGGCTAGGTAATAGCCATAGATCGAAACAAAAAAATACATCTAAAAAATGACAATCAAACAAACTCAAAGACTTACAGAAAACTGTAAAGTCAAAAAATCACAAAAAATGTCAAACACGACACTGCTCAAAGCCAGACTCAAAAATCACACCAAGCCAAACGCAAAAACTGTAGGGCCAAATAAAACTAACGAGCTAAACTAAACTATACATAGGGACTAAAAGATGAAATTGTCTCTATGACAACCCATCATAAATAAAAAATAAACTAAAAAAGTGGTGTAATTGCTCGCGAAACAATACACCTGGACTAAAAAAACCAGAAAACTAATAAACAGAGCAATCATCATCTCTTCTGCTATGCACGCCAAGCTAAAAACTCAATGCATCTGCACATTCCATACAGACACTGCCAAAATTCACTAAAAAAAACTAAAAATAATATAGATGTCACCAAGACAAAAATATCTCACAATACAAAGAGATCTAAACCTGACACAAGTGTCATCAAAAAAATATCTCTCCAAATTACGAGAAAACTAGAACTCCAACTAAACTCAACCTATTGACGCATCTTGACACAGATATAGTTCTTCGGAAAGATTGCATTGGCTATCAGATCTAGTAAAAACTATTAAAACCAGGCAACAGAATCCGAAAACAGAGATGTCAAACGTCAATCCTCCATAAACTTGAGTCACGAGCGCTAAATCGCTCAAATAACTCAAAAACAATCATCATGTCAAATGATGACAACACGTTAATGACCTTGGACGTCTCCAAAAAAAATCATTAACAACCAAAATGTTCACAGTAGCCTCCTGCTAACTGTAAACCATAAATACGACAAATCCTCCCCGCATATGTCATCTGCAACACTGCAAAAAAATTTAATGTCCTAATGACACTAAATAACCACGCGGTAAATGTCTGTATGAAAAGTTATTCGGCAACAATCATAACAGAACAAGTACCAAACATTCCTTTGACACGTACATAGACAGCTGCCAAAAAAAAAACGATACCTCACGTATCAAATATGACAAGTCACCCTCGTCATACACTCAAAAAAACTCAAAGGATACACTTCCTGTATCAACATAACAGTCCTAGTATAACTGTCATGACAACCAAAAAATTCAAAATGTACCTAAAGTACCAAACAGGACAGTCTAGCAACTGTCGATAGTAACTGACAACACTGAAGGTTCAGATGGTGAAACATAGTGAATGCGATACTAAATAAAAATATTGGCATAAAAAACATTGGGCATAGAAACCTGAAGGTAAACTAAACAATAAACGAGATGAGATTAACTCTAACGTACTTCTATACAAAAAAATAACCCTAAATGTAAGTTTAGCAGCTCGCCCTAACAGTTATCGATAATCACAAAAACTTGTAAAATTAATTGCAATCAATTAATCAACACAAACAAAATCAAAATGGTCAAGTTGTGACCACCCTGTATAGTAAAAATTATCAAAATAATCTCAACTATATAACGTTCAAAAATTTATATCAAATTTCAAACACCCAGAGATATAAACAAAATCAAAAGTCGAAAAATTTAATGCTTGTCCAATTCTGTTTAGGGAAAATACAAACCAAAATGTCTGTAAATACAAAGCTTCAAACCTTATCAAATGTCAAACACCTTGAAATTTAAAAAATTTCAAAGTCACAAAAAAAATATTGACCACCTCTGTATAAGGAAGTTCTCAACAATAGATAAACTTTCAAGTTTATCTACCAAGAAAAAATTTTTAAACAACTATTAAAAAAAATTTTAACCCCTTAAAGAAAATTCAGGTCCAAGCATTAAATCTTGACCGCCCTGTATACCAGGTTCAAAAAATATATCAAAAATATCAAAACACACAGCTGACACATTATCTCCGTTATATGAAATTGTCCAAATTCCATAGACCCAAATAATAATAAATAGAAATATCAAAAATAAGAAAGAGAATAAAAACTTCAGTCTTAAATCGTACCAAGAAAACAACAACTGTTTCCTCCTCTGTATCGTGCCAAAAAAAATTAAACTACAAAAATTTATTTAAGAAAATTAATCAGGAAAATTGTCAGACTCCAGTGAAATACATTACGAGTAAAAAATATAAAACAGACTGAATAATATAGTTTCGAATTTTCTCGAGGCCCGACGCTTATGGGTGCCAAATTAAGTGTAGCGTTTTTTAAACAACTACCACTGCGAACGGCAGCTTTTCATCGGAGAGCAGTCGTGGATAAGGTATTTCACTGGAAAGAAAACTAATTAAGAACAATAAACAAAAAAAATAGATATTGGGCGCCAGGCATGTACAGAGAAAGAAAAGACAGTTGTATATTACTTAAAACTAATGATCAATATATTTATTCATGATGAATTCTGATGGTAAATAGCATTGTACAATTTTAATAATTATTATAGTGGTTATTTGTTGAGTAAAACGTAGGTATGTAAATAATATTAAATATGTTCTATGAAAAGACTATGAAAAAATACAATGCGTGTAACGTTATAGAAAATATAAGAAAAAGTAGCATTACTTCATTTAAATTGTTAAATTTTTATGCGGTGTTAAATCTGATGTGTTGCAACCTGTAGATTTCTAGAATCTATGTCTCGTTATTCATCTGTTAATATAGCGCAATAATAATATTGCATAGAAAGTAATACTATTACAGGCGTAATGCAATGAAACCTAAGATCTAAATTATATTTTAAAGATTATATCGACATAAATGTTCTTAACAATCTAACCACTGAACATAGTCTGTACGATATTACTTAAGATGTACGTTATTGTTTAAGACTGAATTTATAGAAGATCTAAAACATAAAAACTAGAACGTAAATCTACACTTAGGGCCGATTTCATAATCATTCACTTAAAGCGACCTTAGCTAAATGGGACTTTAGGATAAAAGTGACTTTAAAATTTGTTCAGTTTCATAACCTGAAGTAAAGCGACTTTAGCTAAAGGCGACTTTAACCATACTTTAACGTTAAAAATTCATGTTGGTAACACCGATTCCTAGTTAATAGTTCAAATGAGTATGAAATTGTATGTTATTTGATCTATGGTTATACCACAGATGCTGAGTTATCTGCTGTTACAGATTTTTATTTCTCTGTCCACGTGTTCACCACGAGATCATTTCATTTTATTCTTGGTGTTTGGCGTGTGTTGACGTGTTTGTTTACTGTAATATCGTTTTTATTTTATATTTCCTAGTTGTTTCTAATATTTTGTATAGAGATGTCTGAAAGGTAAGTTAATAAATAATGTAATGGCCAAAACAGGTATTTATATTATTTTTATTTTAGTCTTTTTAAAACTCCGAAAAGAAGCCGGGGTGCTAATTTTACCAAGGAGGAGGAATTGATACTATTAGAAGAAGTAGCAAAATATTGGAACATTATAGAATGCAAAACTACAAACAAAATAAACAAAAAGGAGAAGGTATGACTACAGATATTTGTTATATAAAGATATATGTATATATAAATTTATTTATTTTTTATGAAGTTTGGTGGTCGAATAACACAATTAAACTGGATTATTTATTTTATTTTAGGACTATGTTTGGGACAAAATATTAGCTTCCTATAGTCAAAGAGTAGGAGTAGTAACAAAAAAAGTTGAGCAGCTGCAGGGGAAGTACGACAACTTAAAAACGAAAGCAAAAAAAGTTGTTGCTGAATCTAAAAAGAATATTTTGGGTACTGGCGGTGGTCCATCAAATAATGATCACATAGATCCAGTCATACAAGCAGTTTTGAATATTTTAAATTCTAAGTTAGTGGCTGGACTTAAACCACAACATGATTGTGATACTGATGTGGTAAGAACAATATTAGTTGCTCTTGACTTTTTTAAATATAATTATTTTAGGTTTGTGTAAGTGAGTCACAACCATCGACCCCCAGTGAGCCACAACCATCGACCCCCAGTGAGCCACAACCATCAACCTCCAGTGGGCCACAGCCATCGACCCCCTGTGAGCCACAATCATCGACCTCCAGTGGACCACAACCATCGACCTCCAGGGATCAACAGTCATTGACTGGATTCACTATTATTCCCGTTTCGCCACCATACATTGTAAGTAATTAGATCTTTCGAATCAGTTTGTTAAGGTTGTCCCTTATTTTTATCTTCTTTTAAATGGGAACCTGGTTAACTATGACATTTTTTTTACAGATTCAGCTCGACCAGAAAGAAAAGGAAGGAAGTACTGACAATCCTGAAACACCAAATACAAATTTGCCAGTGGTAGAAAAACAATTAGAAAGTGAATGTAAAAGGGTAATTGTAATAATATATTATTTTAAAGTGTTATTAAATGAAAAAAAAATCTTATAGTACCTATCTAAAGGCGCGCTCTCACGACTCATGTACTTGGCAAGTATTTTTTATTGGCATACAGTCTGTATAGATGTCCGATGCATCCTGTATACCAATTACAAATGTTTGTCAAGTACATGAATCGTGAGAATCTGCCTTAATATTCTTTTCTATTATAGAAAACCGAAGACTGGAGCAATTATACTCCTACAAAATTGAAAAAAAAACTGCTAAGCAGCTGAGACCTACAGTATCGAATCCTCTGCATACAGTTAAATTAGAATATTACAGGGTGAAAACTGAATTAATGGAGAAGAGTATGGGATTGCAACAGTTGGAATACGAAAAAAAACAACAGAGAGAAGACCAGGAACATATGAAAAAAATGATATTACTCGATTTGGAAATCGAACTAAAAAAAAAGGAATTGTCAAAATAACGTGTTTTTCGTATTAATTTTAGGTATAGTTAAAGTTTATAATTTTAATTGTTTTTTTTAGTTTGCATTTTGATTAAAATAAATTACATATAAACAAATAAATAAATTTTTATTTAGCTAAAAAGGTATTTCAAACAATTATATTACAAGTTCGATAGTTACAAAAGTCCAGCAAAGTGTTGGTTTATTAGTACTTGTCTAAATTGTCTACCAAAATTAATATTTTCATTTGGCAATTCCAAAATGCCATCTCCCTCTTCAGCATTTTCTCCCTCTTCAGCATCTTCTAGCCATTCCCCTGGGATGTCTTCAGACATGTCGAGGGCAATATTGTGCAATACAGCCGTAGCAACAATAATATCCATTGCAGTTTCCAACTTTACCCGCATCCCATTCTTTAAAATTGGAAACCGCCTCTTCCACACACCATACTGACGCTCGACAACATTTCTGGTTCGTATTATGGATTCATTGTATAAATTTTCAGCATCGGTATTGGTCTCCAACAGTTTTGTCATTAGATATTTTTTTAATGCATATCCACTATCTCCAACTAAAATATACCTTCCGTACCTGCCTGTTTCAAATTCTCTTTTGACTTGACTATTATTAAAAATAGTTTGGTCGTGTACAGATCCTGGCCACCTTGCAACAATGTTTCGGATTTTTAATTTAGCATCACTAATAGTCTGAACATTTAATGCAAAAAAACCCTTTCTGCACCTGAAGATTTCTGCATCTTCTCCTCCAGGCGAATCAATTTTTATCAGAGTGCAGTCTATTGCTCCTATTGCTCTTGGAAACGACGCTAAGCCATAAAAATCTTCTGATGCTCTTTGCATTTCGGCATTATCGGAATACATCTTCACATATCTAGGCCTTAGAGCTGCTAATGCTGTTGTTACCCTTGATATAACACGACATGCCGTAGCCCTCGATACACCGATAAAATCAGCAGCAGTAATCTGCATACACCCAGTGGCAAAAAATCTTAATGTTAGCAATAATTGTAGCAAGGGTGGGACACATCCTCCTCTGAAATTGACATTGAATTAATACCAATTAATACTACCTGTTATATTATACAAACCTATTTGTAGGTAAACGGATTTGCGGTTCAATCTCTCCTAGTACTTGCATTACTGTAGGTTTCGTCAAACGAAATCTACAGAAAAAATCCAAATCATCGTATAGTTCGTAATAATTTTGACGATCTCGGTATATTTTTCTTCTCCGAACAAAAACTAATTCTTCTTCTGATGAACTCGAACTTGATGAAGTATCCGTATCCATTAAATTCATTTTATAATCAAATAAAAAACAACGAAGTTTTTACAAAACGCACAAATGACAAAACGTGGCTGAACCAAAACTAAAGATTAAACTGAATTGAGGTTAGGTTATCACTTTAAAGAAGCTTTAAAGTCAACTTTAGCGTCTAAAGTGGATAACCTGGCGGTTTAAATTTAAAGTGCCTTTAGCACTAAAGGAGGTTTAAAAATGAATTATGAAATCCATATTAGAAGTTAAAGGAGCTTTAGTAGTTAAAGTTAACTTTAAATTGATTATGAAATCGGCCCTTAGCTGTTCTTTATGTAATCTTGCTTCAAACAGTAGCAGCGTGAGGTGGTCTCGCATCTCTGTACTCAGCCATCCAACACAACCAAAGGAGCCAGCATGAGACACCATAAATTGGTACAGCTGTAGTTAAACCAGCTTACAGCTGGGAACGAAGCATTGGGACTTCAAGCTACATCCACGCTGTGGCACTTAGATGTAAGAAAAAATCGTTCTTGATTGGGGACACTGTCCACAGGACATCCGTACATAAGATAATGTCCATACATGACACACTACCTTGGACACAGTCCGTACCTTGACACAGTCCGTTCCCTGGAAATAGTCCGTACCTTTGGAAATAGTCCAAAATCTTTGAAAATAGTCCGTACCTTGGACACAGTCCGTACCTTTGGACACAGTCCGTACCCCTTTGAAATTATCCAGCCTTTGACACAGTCCGTATCCTGGACACAGTCCGTACCTTGACCCTAAAAATATGAAACTCTTTGTTTAAAACCAAACAAGGTCTAATAAACAAAATAAACCTACCTCGAAATACTTCCCTGAGGGCTCAATAAATAATAAACATGTCCTTTCTTCCATGTGACATTCTGGAGGACAAAAGAAAAGGGACGCCACGTGCCAATAGCAAAAAATACAAATACAAGTTAACATCCGTAACTCTACCCTAAAAATATTCAATAATAATATCGAATCGATAAAAGGTAATAACTATCTTTATTCTGTAGCCTCGAAATAGCAGCTGATTCAAATTATACAGCAAGATTTAAATAATCACCATTTCTAAAAGCTAGGATACAACAGAGCGTCAAAACAAAGTGAGGTTAAGCACGGAGAGTGTTGACAGAAGCGACGTTGACAGCGCGCGCCTCCACAGAATAGTAACAGGGTTGTGTCGAACGATAACAGGGTTGGCGACTAGGGAACGTAGAAATTGCGTGTCAAATAAACTATCCGGCCTGAACGAGAGGGAATCCGGTGATGATAGGCCAGACATCATATATCATATGTAAAAAAGACATGTAACGAACTAAAAACGTTACAGTTGCATCTCGGGAATAATCGATCAAAACTCTAGAGGTACACGGTTGTTAGTGTAAATTTTGTTCTGCGAGGTACTAAATATTTACTTTATTTTTATTATTGTAAACTTTACTTTACGGGTCATTAGATATACATTTTATTTCACTGTGGTTACGATTCGAGGACGTGAACCTTCCTGGATTATTGTTGTACATAATTAATTAGTTAAATAAAAGCCTAGTGTTCCCTTATAGTTAATTGTGTGTTTTATTTTCTTTTCATCTCATTACTCCCTGGTATCTCCACTGTATAAAAGCTATCCGTATTGGCACTAGTGGTCTCTCAAACACTTTAAACTTGGGGGTGGCGCCCGAGGAACCGAACCAAGGCAACTCGACGTCAGTGACCTTTCTCTAAAAACGGGGGGCTCTCACAGTAATTTGTTTGTAACAGTTTTTTATTATAAGTTATTTTTTTTACCAAAGAACTTTAATTTTTATCAATATGCTTCAAATATTTTATTAAACTATCGCAGTGGTCTTGAAAAGCATTTAAGAATTTTGTTAAATAGATAAAATGGTGTGATGCCTTGAAAGGACAAATATGATAGTTGAAATCAAGTTCCAATAAAATGAGTAGTAGTTAGTAGCTCAATTTGTTTCTATATAACAGAAACAGATACATCTTATTCTTCTAAACTTCATATTCCAAATCTCTCAGCAAACTCATCATCTATAAATTACTTCATTCGGGCAAGCTACCAAAAAGACACTATGATCTCTCTAGGGTTCTAGAATGTTGATAATATCTTCCAATTCATTTATCATTTTCTAATTCATGAATTACTTTAAATATGCCTTCCATATCACTAAAACAAAATGCAATAAAAGAGATTAGCGAATACATCATGGAACAGAATAATAATTATTTAAAAAGTGAAATAACATAATATTTCCGAACAGAATTCAGGATAAACATTTGTTTTTAAAAAAAAAGTAGAATGTTGTGAGGATATTGCTTTCAATGTTATTTTTTTGCAAAGCTGTCTCTCTCTCTCTCTCTCTCTCTCTCACATTTCACTCTTGATTTCTTATATTGATAAACTTTACTATTGTCTGAAGTTGTAGCTTTTGGTATTCCAAACTTTCTATTTATTTTTATTTTTTTTTATTTTATTTTCTTTTAGACTGAACAAAAGTAATTATTTAAACTTTTGTATTCCTCTGACACTCTATGTTCTGGTAAAATCTCGAAGGTTTTACTAAAAACATAACAATACATAAAATATAATCAACACCACAAGAAATTAATTAAATGGTTTGTTTTAAACTACTCTGTATAAATTGTTAAACCTACAAAACAATTTTTTGTGCATACTAATTTCTTTTTACAAATCCAAACAAATATTATTGTGTTATGTAAAAAACTCTATGTATTTATCGAGCGGTGTACGAACATTTTCTGTTATCAATTATCACCATATTTTTCAAACGTATTATGTAACTACTTTTATTGTTTATTATTTATTATTAACTGACTATTTTCTAAGACCGTCCTGAAAATAATAATTAGTCCTTAATTATTTTAAAAAGAACGTTATATCTTTATATGAAACAGAAATAATTTTTGAATCATAAAATTTATTAAAACAATAATTATTTTTAGACTATAATCGGTCTATAATGTTTGTAGAGACTTATTTTTGTGATTATTGGTTCACAATGTAAATTTAAACCTTGGTGATATTTTAAACAGGCTTATTGTTTCATTCCACTCACTGGAAATGAATAGATTTACAAAATAAATTTAAATAATTTTGGCATTAAGAATTTGATATTGCTTGGATCAAATTTGTCAGGAGATTATAAAAGATACTTGTTTCTAATTTTAGTTAAAACATTTTGTTTATCGTTATACAGGCTGTCCTATAGTGATATCACTATCATTAATTATTGATTTGAACCATTTATTTTTATTATATTGTTTTACAAATTTAATTTATTGGAGTGTCCGGGCCAAATTTTTTTTTCAAGCGGTCAACTCAAATTAAAAATAAAAACCATAAAACAAATTTAAAGGGCGTAAATGTTGTATAATAAAATACAACTAATAATATAAAATAAAAATAATACTAATAGATGGTACGTTACTAATGGTAATAGCCAACTTTGATCTGGGCGCTGCAAATGGACAAATGTTGTATAGCAACAAAAGTCTTGTATGGCTACCGAGATGACCTACCTGCAATTAAAGAAAAAAAACATGGTGTGAGCAACAATGTTACCAGTTATTATTAAAATAAAGTGAATTTAAAATTAAACAGGTACTTGAATGATTTATCAATAGTCCAACTTAAAAATACAAGTTTAAATAAAATAATAAAATGCCACACAGGCTATCAAAGTGGCACACAGGCTAAACAATGCCACACAGGCTATCAAAGTGCCACACAGGCTAAAAAAATTGCCACATAGTCTATCAAAATGTCACACAGGCTATCAAAATGCCACACAGGCTATCAAAGTGCCACACAGGCTATCAAAATGCCACACAGGCCAGCAAAGTGCCACACAGGCTAAAAAAATACACAAGTTAATAGTCAAACTACACTAAGGGGCTAACTACTCTTCATGTCTAATTACGCTACGGGACTAACTCCTTGTCAAGGCTAATTACGCTACAGGACGAACTACTCTTCAAGTCTAACTACGCTACACAGGGTCACTACGCCCCAAAGGCTAACTGTAGAAAATAATAAAGCTAAACATAATTCATTCAAGATCAATTTGATAATACAAATACAGAAATATATTCTTATCTTCTATTAAAGTCACTTAGACAAAATATAAATAAATCACTGTAAAGAAATACTTCAATATTATCATCTGCAAATCATATTTTCTTAATATTCAATCAAGATTAATTTGATAATATTAATACACAAATATATTCTTATCTTCTGTTAAAAGTCACATAGGCAAATTATAAATAACTCACTATAAAGAAATACTTCAATATTATCATCTGCAAATTATCTTTTCTTTATATTCAATCAAATATCTTAAAATTTATCTGAGATTCAGAAATATAATATATCTCAATAAAAACAATAAACAGTAACCAACTAGTTATAGAAGAAAGAAGAAATACTTCAGTATTATCATCTGCAAATTATCTTTTCTTTATATTCAATCAAATATCTTAAAATTTATCTGAGATTCAGAAATATAATATATCTCAATAAAAACAAAAAACAGTAACCAACTAGTTGCTCAGTGAGATAAAATAAACTCACCTTAATTAAACTTCTTATTCGGCACGGCAATGGAACTCAGAACTACCACAAAACCTTAATTAAAGCCCACAAACTTTAATAGTTTTAATTTAATAAGCGCGTACCACTTCTTTCTCTGACGCTGTCTAATACTGTTTTAGACGGCGATACTGTATTGAATGTTATCTGAAACCTTTTTGAAAAGTGCATGTAGCATGAATTTTGGGCTTGTTTTTGTTTACATTCGAAATTCCATTGCGCTTCGGCTTTTGAAATGTCTGTTTTTTATTACGTCATATAAAGAAAACTTAGCATAGAAAAATAGAGTTCTTACAGGAGTATTAATTTTATGCCTTTAAAAGCATAAACAAGCAAGCAAAACCTTTATATTCGTAACTTAATTAATATCTGTGTACTTATCTTATTCAAATGTATCCTCCAAAGCTATATTTTCTCACTGCTTTAAGCTGGATTTATAAATTCGGAAGTTGAGGTTCAGTTGCCGTTCAAAATGTTCAACGCTATGAAATGAACGCGCACATTTATAAAGTCAGTTGGTCGAAAAGTTGGCAGTTCGTTTTACGTTCAGGGGAGTTCAGAGATGGTCAATGCTTAAGTTGCATTTCTAATCAATTTGCGGGCCAAGTTAAACTTCAGCACGACTCTGATCGCCAATCTGAAATCTGATCGCCAATTCGAGTGGCATTTTTAATAGCCGGAATTTCGTGCTCGCACATGCGCGTTGTATGCCGAGATATGTCATCATCTGTCATCCATCATTCATTTTGTTTTGATTTCGATCGCATGGGTGTTTAAAATAAGTTTTTGTTTTTATTATTATGGATTCAACAGATGAAATAAATGATGAATTTCTATTACAATGTGTGGCAAACTACAAACCCTTGTATGATAAGGGGGATAAAGGGTACAAATCCGTAATCCAAAAAGAAAATTGTTGGGCATCGGTAGCAAGATCGTTAAATACTTCAGGTAAAAAACGATATTGTTTTATTATTTCCAAATTTATGTATTGTGTAAATGTTTTAGTTTCGGCTGTAAAGGCAAGGTTTAAAGCCTTAAGAGAAAAATACAGGAGAGAACTCATAATTGAGGAAAAATTAAAAAGAAGTGGCGCACCAGCCTCCACAAGACCGATATGGCCACTTTTAAGCTTTTTAAAGTTTATGTATAAATGTGGTACAGAACAACAAAGGGCCACCACATCAAATTTTGAAGTGGACACTGTGGATAGTGAGACAAGCAATGAACCAAATACTGATTATTATTGTGGCACGGATGATGACTCAGAACTAATAGAGATTGATCATATAAATACAGAAATGCCTACAGCTAATGTTGCAACCCCAACAACAAGTGAGGTTGCAACAAGTTCAGTAGCCAGCATTCAGACTTCGAGCGGTGGAAAAAAAAGGAAGCTTGCTTATGGGGCAACGAAAGAAATAGATTCTGTGCTAACTGATGTTTCAGAAGCAATTAAAAATACAAAGGCAAGCTGTACCAAAAGCAGATAAATATGACTGTTTTGCACAATATTTAAAAACAGAATTGCATGAAATTGGGGAGCCACATGGTTCAATTTTACTTGAAGAAATTCAACTCCTCATAATTAATTATAAAAGATCCCTTCGGGATAAGAATTTATAATTTAAATGTGTTTGCATTATTTATTAGTTTAAGTGAGTTTTTGCAATATTTAGTTTAGTGAGTTTTTATTGATAGGTAAAATTTGCAATGTATAGGTTAATTTTCTAGTTAAGTTTTGTTTTTTAATTTAGTTTTATATAAAACCTACCTAAATATATTTTATAATACATTATCTAAGTAGGAATAAATAAACACAATTTTTTTCTGCTTTTTGTTTTTTACTTGAAAATATCCTAATAAAACATTACAACCATTAACAATAATTATTATGTAAAAAATATTATTAATAATTATGGTTTATTAAAAATAAAAACTACAAACATTAAAAACTAAAGTATACCTACAACTAAAATTATACAAATAAATATTCCTACTTACATCATATTAACAGTTCTAAAAAAATAAATATTTGTTCTTATGGTAGGTATCCAAAAATTTATAGAAAATATATAGTATATTTTAAATAAAAAAGCTTATTTAAATAAAATTTTTTATTTTTCAATTTTTTAAATAAGTTTGGAAACCAAACTAAAACAATTTTCAAGTTATTGTTATTTTTTAGCTTTAGAAGTTTTTTGTAGGACATTTTTTTGTTGTTATACATATTATCAATTTTTGACACCATAATAAAGAAAATGTCCATAATTTTTATACAATATTATAATTAATTTGTTTGATCAATAATTTCCCATTGCCAGGGAGCTAGACCTGCACCTGGACCATTCACATAATCTTTTAAATAATTTCTAATTGCTAAGGCTGAAAAAGATGCATTTCGAGCACCAATACGTACATTTAGATTTTCTATTGCTAGACCGTTCTTGGGTATGTCGTTTCGCCAAGCCCCTGGTTGAATTTGTAAATTTGGTTGTTCTTTATCTACATCACTTTCTCGAATGTAATGTGGATTATTTTCTTTAATTATAAAATTATGTAGACATACAATAGCTTTAATAATATTATCCACATTTACTGGATTGGCATTAATCACCCTATGTAGAACTCGAAATCTAGCAACCATTATGCCAAATGTATTTTCTATTGTGCGTCTAGCTCTTGACAAGCGGTAATTATATATTCTTTGTTCTCTTGGCAAAGGGCCTACTCTGGGTTTGCTAAAGGGCCGCATTAAATTTTCTCTTAGAGGAAAAGCCTCATCACCAACAAAAAAATACGGAACTTTTGTCTTTAAAGGACAGTTTGGTAGTTCTTCTGCCACTGGCAAGTTTAAATTATTTTCAAATAATTTTTTGCCAATTGAGGACTGATGCAAAACACCACTATCACTCTGTGAACCGTAAGCACCAACATCAACATATGTAAACATATAACTTGAATCACACACTGCTAGCAAAACAATACTAAAGTTTTTTTTGTAATTGAAATATGTAGAGCCAGAGTTGTTTGGAGCTTGAATTGTCACATGTTTACCATCAATGGCTCCGACACAATTTGGTAAGGACCACTTTCTTAAAAAACCATTAGAAATTTCTCTTAACTTTTGTTCTGATGGAATGGGTAAAACTCTTGGATGCAATACATTCCATATAATAAGGGTAGTTTCTCTTATTATGTTACAAATTGTTGTTACACCAATTCTAAATGAATAGGACAGACTTGGGTATGAATCCCCTGTAGCCAAGAATCTAAAGGTTAAAGCCAATCTGAAATAAAAAAATACCTATATATCATAAATTATAAAATAATTTATTATTTATTATTTAATAAAATTAGTAGTTACCTGCATCCAGGGGATATTGGTTCCCTTCTTGAGGTTTTAGTCAAAAAGGGTCCTGTAAAACTTAGTAATTTATCAAAACTGGCTGCAGACATTCTTGTGAAATTAAAAAATATTAGTGGATCGCTTAAACGTGCTTCTTTTAACAGGTTTTGATAAAATCCTTGTCTTTCTCGAGCAAGAAATATTGGATGAACCCCGAACCTTTTTGGTTTACGGCGATATCTTCTGGTAATTTGCTGTTTTTTTATTAATAATAAAACGGTGCTCAAATAAAGCAACATTAAACAATCACTGTTTTCATCCATATTAATTAAAAAAGGTACTCATAAACACAAAAAACTTATCTAAATAACTTGTTTATATAAACAAAAAAACTAACTTCAAACTAAAATGACAGCCGTAAGATGTCCAATACGCAGGTGTCAGAGCCAGCACGGGCGTAAAAAGATTGCTTCTTGCAAGCACGAATCCTGAAGTGAGCACGACTTTCACTTACGTGCTGGCGCTAAATTGGTTATAAACGATCACACTGATGATCTATTTAGCAAGCTAGCGTGCCGAATTGTCAATTCACTAGCGAAGTGATTAGAAATGCAGCTTAAGTCGGCAGTTCGCGACCGTTCGGCACAGCCAATCAGTGGGCTAAATTTGAACACGTGATATATTACGCTCGGGTGAAGCTTCTATGGGTGACGCCATAGACAAATAGAGAAATTAACTTTCTCTATGGATGACGCTTAAAGTATGTTCTGTCGTTCTGTGGCGATATGAAAGTTTAGTTCATCTATGGCCATAGCGTCGGCGTTTTCATTTTGTTTCTGTCGTTGGTCATGGTTGGTCGTTGTCCTCATGGTTAAATTTTGGTCAAATTTCTCTATTTTTAATTAATTTTATTAATTTCTCTATTAGTAATTATAATTATGTATATGTCTTTAGTAGAGACAGAATTCTGCGAGATTGACGATGTAAGTGGGTTATTATTAGATATAATAACCAACTATAAACATCTGTACAATCTCGAACACCGGGATTATAAAAATGTATTAAAAAACACCAAAGTTGGGTGGAAATCGCACAGATGTTGAACATCAGTGGTAAGTTAATTATTTTTTACTTAATTTTAGTGTATAGTATTTACTAATAGTTATTTTTCAGTTGAAGAATGCCAAAAGCGGTGGAAGGCCTTAAGAGACCGCTATACCAAAGAAAAAAGGATTGCCTCTAAATCTGGATCCGAGGCACCGGCGTCGAAGTGGATATACTACGAGAGAATGTCCTTTTACGCCAAATTTTCTAAACAAAGAAAGTAAGCATTTAGTTTATAAATATATACCTAACTCTATTAGCATTTTATTTATTAATATTAAACGTAATTTTCTAGAACTTACACGACAACTCCAAAACTATCTACTGATGCCCCACGGGCCACGCCCTCACTGTGGAACACAAAGTTGACATCAACGGAAGATACGGGGGAAGAAACACCTTCTTCCTCGAGGCTTCGAACGGTCAGCGGCGACAGCAGTGGTTTGGAGGACACACAGGTGTCCTCATTGTGTGATGAGGCAGGACCTAGCTCCACACCACACCATTGAGGCAAGGATCCCAAGGTAGAAAAAGTAAGTTTATAGAAGACTATTAATATATGTAATCTGTCCAACGAGAAGATTCATGACAGTTGTGTCTGTCTTTTGGAACATTTTTTAGATATCTTCTATCAAAATATTCCCAGACTCGTTTGACATACTAATTACATTATTACTGGATAGCGACAACAGTTATTAAACAGATTACACATTCATTTTCTGTCAAGTATTAAAGTCTAGAGTATACTGAATATAGTTATAGGATTATATTAAGTTTATATTTATTTACAGATGAACCCAAAATGTCAACTGCTGAGAAAGAAATGCTAGCAGTAGCAAAGGAAATAGCATCAAAAGTGGGACAGCCCAAAAGATCCGATCCAAATAGAGCGTTTGTAAAGTATGTATATTCGCTCCTGGAAGAAATGCCTACAGAGGTAGCCAGGGCAAAAAGAAGACAATTTCTTAGGATGTTGGAAGAAGAAGATGAGAATACAAATTCTTAACAGTGTTTACGTTTTTATTATATTTTACATTTTAATTATATTATAATTATTATAAAATACATGTTTTTTATTAATTCTAAAGAAACTACTTCCTTTATTTTGTTATTTGAGTTTTAAAAAGCATAATTTCTTAATAAGTAACCATTAATAGTTGTACAATTTAAAACATGGTGCTGAAATATTAAAAAAAAATATGGTTACACAGAAATAGAAAAGATAAGAAAAATAATATTCTTCCCTGTAAAAGTAAAGTTATTTTAAAATATTTTATCTTTAATATTTATTTTAATGTCATTCAATTTGACATACAAATTATTTATTGGAGCTAAATATTGAAGTAACAAAAAATAAATCAAGCAAAAAAAGTATATAAAATATAAGTACATATATTTCACATAAGATCCATTAAAATGAAAAAAAAGTACAGAAATATTTGGAAAACCTAACTACTAATAACTTATTTTAAATTATAAAATATATTAATATTATAAATAAGAAGTTACATTATACAAAACATAATTACTTAAAATTAAAAAAAAACACATTGCATTAAACAGACAAAAACTAAATTAATCTCCCGTTATTAATGACATTATTTTGCCATACCACTGCACCATGTGGTGATATAAAATATTGGGCTAAACTATCTCTAATGGAATATAACAATCGTTGAGCTGTTACAAATCCCTGTGGACAATAAATATTTTCACCATTTTCACCATTACCAAGTTCTGTTTAGCAGTAATTGTGGAGTACTGTTACTGCTTTGACAATTTCATCCACATTTTCGATTTTCGCATTTATCGTCGTCTGTAAAATTCGCCATCTGGCAACTAGGATACCGAAAGTGTTTTCAATTACTTGCCGTGCTCTCGACAGTCTATAATTGAATATCCTCTGTGTATCTGTCAGATTTCTACCTCCATAAGGGCGCATTATAAATGATTTCAAGGGAAAAGCCTCGTCTGCCGCCAAAAACTATGATAGTCTAGTACTACACACGTTTAAAGTTGTGGCTTCTGGGATGTTTAGGTCATTTTCCTTCAGTCGTTGGCCAAAAACACTGTGTCTGAAGATCCCTCCATCACTTTGCGACCCATATGCCCCAATATCAACAAGGGTAAAACAATATTTGCTGTCACATGCTGCTAGCAGGACAATACTAAACGTGTTCTTATAGTTGTAAAATAATGAGCCGCTACGTGCAGGAGCTTCATGTGTTTCCCATCTAAGGCACCCACACAATGGGGAAAATTCCATCTCTCAGTAAATTTATGGCTAATATTTAGCCACTCAGCAGCTGTCGAAGGGGATTTCAAGTACTCTGGACTTAACACGTTCCAAATTGCCCTACATGTTTCGTGGATAATTTTGTGGACCGTGGTATGGCCAATTTGAAATGTCCAATGAGATTCTGCATTGATGTGCCCTGAGATAGTAGGTAGTTGTAGTAACCCTTGTAGTTTGGATCTTGCACATCGTAACAGCCCTGGTTTTTTCCATTTTTGAAGTAGGTGATATTTTCCCAAATGATGTTTTGATAATAGCTAATTTCCGAGTTTTCCTGTAGGTACTGTTAAGCTACATTCGTAATGAATTCGCTGGCCGAGTGGCACTTTAGCACGCAAGCTAGGAAACTGGTTTCAATATGTTTTCGTTCGTAATGGAATTCGACGCCAGCGTTGAAGTTGGAGTGGAAAATATTTCTTGCAAGCTGCAAACTTTCACTTCGACTCGCGCTTTCGTCCCGGCTATAGGACATGCGCATTGCTTTTGTTTGATGTTTTGACATTTCAAATTTGATATTACGGTGGTGTTTACAATTTGTCTTTGTGTCCTTTGCAGCCCTTTGTACTTGTTCTTGTAAATTTGAGATGAAATACGCTTCTCTTGCGTTTTTTCTTATGGTTTTTTTCTAATTAAAGACCAAAGTTAAAGACATTTGGAAAAAATGGCTGAAGAAAACAGTCTTTCAATTTTATTTGCCACAATGCTAGTTTTGCTACTAAAAAGAAGACAATTATTGATGCAGTTTGACAAAAAGAGTTGTCCAATAAGGCCAAAAAGATGGGGCATTCGTCCAATGTTAATGGCACGAAAAAAGTTTGGATATTATGAAAATCTTTTACAAGAAGCCCGTTTAAGTGATCCATATATTTTCTATAATTTTACAAGGATGTCAGCAACTAGCTTCGATAAACTGCTAGCAATAATAGGTCCAAATATTAAAAGGGATCCAACAGAGAACCCATCTCTCCAGGTTGTAGGTATGATTAATAATTAGTACCAGCGCTGATTAGCTACTATAAACACCTGGTTCCAATGTTACATTGTATGGTTTCTTTGTTTCAGATTAGCCATTACATTACGATTTTTGGCTACTGGTGACAGTTATCCGAGCCTTTCATATGGTTTCCGAGTTGGAGTATCTACAATCTGTGAGATAATTAAAGAAACATGTTGCATTATTTGGAATTTACTACAGCCTTTACAGTTGCCTGTTTTGACAAAAAAAGAGTGGAAAAGTATTTCTGAAAATTTCTTGTCTTTGTGGTCATTACCAAACTGTGTGGGAGCAATTGATGGCAAGCACATCATTATGCAAGCGCCATCCAACACCGGATCTTTGTTTTATAATTATAAGAAATCATTTAGTATCATTCTATTGGCAGTTTGTGATGCCAAGTATAATTTCATCTGTGTAGACATTGGTGCATATGGGTCTCACAGTGACTGTGGGGTATTAAATAATGCTTCCTTTGGCAAAAAGTTATTGGCTGATGACCTGGATATACCACAATCAGAAGAACTACCAAACTGCCCCACAAAAATTAAAATACCTCATTTTTTTGTGGGTGATGAGGCTTTTCCGTTAAAAGAAAACTTAATGCGTCCATATAGTAAACCTAGAGAAGGATCTTTAGCTCGTGATGAAAGAATTTTTAATTATCGTCTATCGAGGGCTAGAAGAATAATTGAGAATACCTTTGGTATTATGGTGGCACGGTTTCGAATCATCCACCGGGTTATCAATGGTAATGCAGAAACTGTAGATGGAATTGTGAAGTCTGCTGTATGCCTTCACAATTTTATTAGAAATGAAAGTAACCAGTTTTATTACATTGGATCTGGGTTTACACTGGGGCGCCCACATTGACCAAGTAGCCAAAAAACTGACAAAAACAGTGTATGTCATCCGGAATCTCTCTGCTTGTGTATCCCCGACTGTA